CGCCGCAAGCCGGGCTCATTTCCTCCATCATGCTCCTCGGCAGGTGGAGATGGTGAAGATGAAGGTGAAAGAGGTGGAGAGGGTAATGAAGGTGGAGGTGGAGGATTCTCCCCATCTCGGAACACGACCACCCCTCGTTCTAGGACGCGGAGGATGCATGCTTCTACACAAAGGAAACCATAGAATCATTAGTTTCAACAATGCAACAAAAGCGCAGGGGTCGAAGGAAAATGAACCTAATGCTCTGATACCAAGCTGACAGGAACCGTCCTGAAATTCCTTGGAATCTGGGACGGACCCCGCCTAATTACCGACATCATCCCGATGCCGGGCCCACTTACTAACGACTGAGACTTTCTACCAAAAATTTGGCAGAGTCTCCCCTGTAAATTGAACATTTCCCAATTTCAACTTGTTCAAAATTTACAATTAAATACATCCAACTGGCAGCATGCTTTACAAGCAGTAAAATAATTTACAAACAAGGCCTCCAGGCCTCACAAAATTTAAACCCTCAGTGGGTGATACAGAGCATATCTACGGAATTCAAAATACAACCGAGAAGTATCGTTTAACTGAAAGGAAAAGGTACCAAGAGTCTCTACGAAGACTCGAATTCCAAGCTGCACCCGGTCTGGCTCAACTGCAAAGCTCAGTCGCTACTGGCTGGGGGCGCAAAACAGAAAGTTGTGAGTGGACAAAAATCAAGTTCAGTTCTAGTGAAAACAAAATAGTATAACCCCCACCTTTAGTAAAACATGCAAGGAAACCATAAGCATAACAAAACATCATAAACAGTATATGAACACATATTACAGATATATCTAATATTTGATTGTACCGGGAAAACAATCCAACCGGGGGACTGTTTGACTAGTCCACATGGCAGAGCCATTCCTCAATTCACCATGTGTCTAGGGAACGAGCCGTCCAACTGGGGGGCTAACTCTCAGCCAGCACGTACAGCCGACACAGTCAAAGCTTGTACGCCTGAAATACCAGTCCTACGCGCGCAGACTACCCCAAATCCAGGGTCCACAGCAACATCCCCTCAAGGATGTTCTGAGTTCTCATAATTTCAAAAGTATTCAATATCCGTAACCAAAATCAGATCAGGGGAGGTACATAAATTAGTGCTTAACGCACTCCAACTAACAGATCAAATATTACCTTTCCATAGCTCATATCAACCATCACGTACCCCATGCATAGACGCATGTAAATATAGCTTCTCAAAAGTCAAATATCATAATAAGTTTTATAAAAACCTCGAACTTTCATTCGAGCGTATATAAATTCTTGATAAATATAATAAAACTATATGCCATATTTCCATGAATGAAATCATACTGAGTTTCAAAAGAAAAGTCTACTCACAAGTAGTCCCACACAGCTTGACCCTTAGAGGGTCCCGCCTGCTGCGTATGCTGGGTCGGAGTACCTGATTCAGAATGCAAAATACGATGAGCGTCAAGCGCTTCAAAATAGAACTTTAAAATAAAACCCTAGCTTCCCAGGAGTTCCTATAGGTTTTACGGGGTCTAGGATACACGTCCTGTACGTTTGGTCTGAAACGGACGGTTAGATCGCTCACGACCGCACAATTGGACAGTTACTGAAACCTTCACCCTTGGGTTAGCATTTCCGGAGTATCCGGGACTCCGTTTTACGAGCCGTCGAATCCTACACGATCCTAAGGGTATCTAGAGGGACATACTTCAGTTTGAAAACGATCCAACGGTCGGAACATATCGAACCCGAATAACGCACAATATGCGATAATTCGTTCGATTGTCAAACGACCTCGGAATCGAGATCCGCGAAATCCTACGCTCTCGTGACAACCTAAGGAACACACTGGAATGATTTACAGCTCCACCACACTTGCCCACGCACCGCCACACGCGCTGGCAGCAAGCGGGTGTTTAAAGCGATTAAGCTTGGCCTGAAAATCTCAAAATATCGGCTCAAGACTCCTATCCTAGATGTAACACCCTATTTGGAGCCACTTTTGTTCTTGGGCATACCCCAAAAATTGACCGGAAGTGGTCGGAATTTCATCCCGAAATCCGGCCAAAACCTAATTCGAAAATCAGACATCCTACGCTCAAAATCGATGCAATCCTACCCAACCATCAGCTAGATCATGAAAATTAGGTAGAAATCCATACCTTATACGTCCAATTTGGTGGAGAAATGAGAGAGAACGAGTGATTTGAAAATTCGGGAAAAACCGCCGGATTTTCTGCAGTTTCCGGCGAGATTTGCAGCTGCTGGCGACGGAGCTTGGCTGGGGTTGGAAACAGAAGACCAGCCGGTCATTTTGGGACCAACACCACCTCGAATGGTGGCCGGAGGAAGCGGTGGCGTGATGATTTCTGCTCGGTGACCAGTGACGAGAGAGAGAGAGAGAGTTCGCGTCGGGGAGAGAGAGAAGACGGGCAAGAAAAGAAAAAAAAGAAAATGAACTGAAAATCTGATTTTATTTTTACAAATACCCTTTTCAAGTTATTTACGGTTTTGCCACCGAAAGAAATTTCATCGCCAAAACCTCGTTAATATTCCGATTCAAGCCTACCGCCTGTCCACGAATTCATCTCAGAACCACCTACGCAACCAAACCACTTGTGGTCCCAAAATCCTTCCGGACAAGAAAATGACCGAAATACCCTACCCCAAGGGTAGTTTCGTAATTTCACATTTAATTTAGTTTTACCATTTGCATTGGAAATTAAATAGAGTCGGGGTGTTACAATTATAGCCATTAGGATGATTTGTTTGGTGAGAGCCATAACTAGGCTGATCATAAATATTAGCCGGATTATTTTGGCCAACTGGGTAAGTATATTGCCCCCATGCGACTTGATTAGCTTGGCTACCAAAGTCATTTTGATCATTTGAACCACTTTGATTTATAAGATCATATCCGCCAACATAGTTATGCCTACCATATTGGCCACCAAATTGACTACTTGAGTCATATTGGTTGTTAGGCCCACCTTGATGGCTAAAATTATATTGATATTGGCCGATGGATTGGCTATTCAAGCCATAATAGCCGTTATAGTTCATCGGCTGATAAGAATATTGTCATTCCTTTCGGTCGCTCATAGAGTGTGTCTCACCAGGCGTGCCAACTTATGTTTCCCTCTTTTCGGCCGAGGCGGCCGATGGAATGAACTTTTGGTCCTTCTTTTTTGAGTGCGGGGCATGCCACCACTAAGAACCGAATTTGGGCTTGAATGGAATATGAGTAGATGAATGTGTTGAGTTCGAGATCTGACTTTAATCAAATGATTGTTCGGCCGAGCAAGGAAGCTTCTCACGGCCTAGGTTCTTTCACTACGCGGGGGTCAAGGCTTTATGTGAGCGACCAAATAATGTGGAGTGGGTGGAGATGAAGATTGAAGGTAAAACATAATGAAACGAAGAATAAGTGCGTAAAGTAAAGGTGCTTAAACTTAAATATAATTTAAAGACAAATGCGTAAAGTAAAGTGCGAAAGATAAATAACGTAAAGACGAGAATTAAAGTACGATAAAATGAATCAAAGCGATAAATAAAGCAAGAACGAAATGAAAGCGATAAGAACAATAAAGTAAAACGAACTTGAAATTAAACTTAATTGAAGTGCGATAACAATGAAAAGTAAAGCAATTGAAATAAACTTGAATTTAAATTACAATAAAATATAAATTGAACGAGAATTTAAACTTATACTAAGAAAAGGAAGAACTCGCTACACTAAGTGCATGAAAAGTAAAATCCTAAGTCTAGAAAAAGAAAAGTGCAAGATGAAAAATAGGTTTGTCTGTCTGATGTTGTGTGTCTTCTGCCTTCATTGAGCAAGGCCATGGGGTGGCCATTGAATGGCCAAAGGTCAACCCTTCTAAAAAAATCTTTTCCTTCCAAGGCCCCTCTAAATCCGTAGGATTGCATTGATATTCTGACATGTTTAATTCTTTCTTGTTTTAGAACACTCGGAGTTATTATAAAAACTCCCTTGATTTCTTTCCTTGTGAGACCATCCGTAGTTCAAACGAAAAGAGTATGGGAAGTGCGTCAATTTGAGAGCTTGGCCGTGCCCCGCAGGTGTCTTGGTTTACATATACTTATATATGCATACAAATAATTATATATATAATGATATTAAATTTATGCAATATAATATCACAATGGAGGGCTTCAATTTATTGAGCCCATCCGCATGGACCAGGCATTTCAACCACACTATCTTGATTCATTCACCCATATATGCATATATTACTATATATATAATATATATATTAATATATATATATATATATTAGGTCAATTAGTTTCAGCTCAACTTGCCACGAAACCAAATATCCCAGCCTCCATTTAACAAACACAGCAACCACCATAACTCAAAATAGTCGGCCATACTCATCTATTTCAAACCCAGCCGCATATTCATCTGCCCAGCCACCGTCACTCAACACGCCTGGCCGAGATCTCCAACACCCCAGCCTGCAAACTTCTCCAATCCCAGCCGAGATTCCAGCTCCACTCGAACTGCCCAGCCTCACTTGGCTGCCCAGCTCCACCCATTTTATCCGGCCGCACTCTACAATTCATCTCCTCCGGTCGCACCAAATTGTGCCCAGTTACATTCGAACAAATCACAGCTGCCAACACTCCAAGCAGAACTCGGCCACTCTCTCAACCACGCAAGCATCCAGCCGTGCTCTCATAAGCCCCTTCCTCCAACAGCTGCCCAGCTTCATTCGACCCAACTCCGTAGTTGAGAAGCCCGGCCGCTATTCTTCTTTTGCCCGGCCAATTCTCGTGCTCAAGTTAGGTAGATTTCTACCACCCCCAAACATGTATACACCCTTCGACATCCAACTGGTTTCTTTCCTTCAGATTGCTGAATAATTTTCCATGTTCTATATTTTTGTATAGCCTCCACCTCCACATTCATTGCTTGTACTCATTTTGGATCATGCAAAGCTTCTTCCAATCTATTAGGAATTTTACTTCCTTCCATCTAATTGACAAATGCCTTAACTTGAGGAGACAATCTGTGTGTAGAGACATAATTAGCAATTGCATATTTCACTTTGCCTTCTAGTAAGAACCTGTTTGGTGGTATTCCTATGTTTGCTCTTGCAGGTAATTTTTTCACAAATTCAACAATATTTTGATCAGTATTAGGATTCGAATAACTTACCTCAGAGATGTTCAATGGAGCATGATCGGGTATATCGATGTTCAAGCGAAGGGTTTTACAATTTAGCAGGTGGGCTGCTTAGTTCAGCTGGGCTAGACAGTGTCGCTCGGCTGGCATCTTGACTGGACCTTATTTAGTCGCAAAATCTTGCTCTCCCCCTTAATTCCACTTCAAACCAATTTTATGCTTCTCTTACTTCATTCTCCCCTTGAATGGCATAATTGGGTACGTCAAACAGAAAAAACATCTCGTTTTCCACAAACATAACATCTATAGTAACATAAAACGACGAATAGATGGGTGGTAACATCGATAACCCTTTTGTTGGGGGGAAAACCCACGAATACACAACGGAAGGCACATGGATCCGACTTGTTCCTATGATTTTTATGGAGATGGACATACGCCACACAACCAAAAATGAGCGGAGTGAGATTGAGATGTGAACTGACAAGGACATGAGCAGCCAATGTTTGCAGTGCTGTTTTAAAACCCAAAACATGTGAAGACATATGGTTAAGAAGGTAGATGGCATACTGAATAGCTTCGGCCTAAAGAGTTTGGGGAACACACCCCCCAATAAGGAGAGCTTCGGCAATCTCCATAATATGGCAATTTTTGCGTTCAGCCACACCATTATGTTCAGGAGTTTGTGGATAAGTAGTTTTATGGAGAATACCCTTTTTCAATGAAAAAGTCTGAGAGTGTGAGATTAACAAATTCTCCTCCAGTATTCGATCAAACAACTTTAATCCAACGAGAATATTGAATATGAATCATCTTGTAAAAATTCTTGAATAAAGAACCAACTTCACTTTTATGCTTCATAATAGAAAGCCATGTTAACCAAGTACAATCATCAATAAAGATCACAAACCAACAAACACCAAAGACAGTAATAATCGAAGATGGACCCCAAACATCTGAATAGATTAAATCAAAAGGAGTTGTGCTTTTATTCAAACTAGGTGGATAAAAAGTTCAGTGCTTTTTTGCAAGAATACAAGTATCACATTGAAAATTAGAAATTTTTACTCCACTAAATAAAGATGGAATCAAATACTGCAAATAACCAAATGAAACATGTCCCAATAGTCGATGCCATAATGAAAGCTTCTTATGCTTCTCGCTAGTGACGCCCCAAACCTGATGAACACGACCTGGTGCAATGTCATCAACATAGTAAAGCCCCACTCTTTTAATACCAAGCCCAATGATCTCCTTGGTTTGAACATGGTTTGAACATCTTGAAGCAAACAAAAGGAAAAGAACATGAGCACACCTCAATCTAATTGTTCTGTAACTTGCCCAACATATAATAAATTATGTGATAAAGCGGAAACAAGTAAAGTTTTATGTAAAGAAACGGTAGGGGTAAGGGTAATGGAACCAGCCCCAGTGACTGAGTTAGATTTTCTATTATCAGTAACCACACTTGTTTTGGTAGGAGCAGTCATATAATGGAAATATGATTTATCATAGGTTATATGATCAGTAGCACCAGAATCAATAATCCAACATGTATCACATTGGTCAGAAATCACCAATTCTTTGCCCTGATTACCTTTACATTTAGCAGTTCTTCCTCCATTGTCGTCCACGACTACCTTCAACTCCAGTGTTATAGACGAAAATCAAGAACACATGTCATTTATAATTCACTCTAATTCTTATTGGTTATCTATTTCATCTCTTGATTTAGACTCAAATATTCAATTTTTCCAGAACCAAAAGAAAATTTATTGACCCAAATTCGGAGCTATCAAGCCATCCCTTCACACTTTAACGTGATTGAATTTCAAGGACCCACAACCAAGTCAGTTTCCTGTCGTTCTCTGCCTTTGTGATCAATTTTCTGTTTATAAATGTTAGATTTGAATTATTCATGAACTCAGTTTTGGGAAAACTTCACTTTTTTATAAACAAATTTTGGGGTTTTTTTTTCTTTCTCCAGTTCATGAACCCATATTTGGGTTTCTACAACGATATTATATTTTCATGAAAGATTCATGTTTTCTTATTCACTAGGCGTGAAGGAGAAAGATGTATGGTGTCAGAGACAATAATCTTAGATGCGAATGAGTTTTTTTTTCTTCATGTTTTTCATCTCTGATATTAAACTCTTCTTTTAAAAAAAATTAGTTTTAATAATCAAAA